ATTGCAAACAAAATATTTTCCCCCCTGTCCGTCTTCTTAACTTTCCAGCTTTCACACCTGTACGTGGTGATCAGGAATGCAAGAGTGTTGATGATCTTGGCCTGGTCTCTGGTGAATCATCCTTACACTTGATGATCTTTTCTAGTGCCTTCATTGCTGCCCTTCCGAGTTTCAGACACCTTCTGATTTCTTGACTTCTGTCTCCGTTTGGACTGATGACTGGACCAAGGTGTATAAAAACTTCCACGATTGCAAGTTCTTCGTCGTCAACATTAAAAGTTGTGTCATTCTTCTGGAGTCTTGATTCTTCTTAACGTTCAACTGCAAGCCATAGATGAAACAAAACAAAATGCCACAAGGAATAAATAATAACCAGGCAGCCAAAAGATGCCAAATGCTCAGAGATGAACATGCTCATCCTGGAAGCTGTTCTCAAAAAAAGTAAATTTTCTAAGCTCTCAGCTAGATCTACAAAAAGGTGCAGAAAACCCTTCCTATCATCTTCAGAAAAATCACTGAGCTGTCCACCACTCCCTCCACCAAGACTAATTTTGACCTTCCCTAAAGCTGTCAGTATTAGCTGACACTTGGCTGTCTCTCTGGATTCCAGGAGAGCAAGAACACCCATCTATTTCACTTTGGGACAAGATGGTCCGCATGTATAAGTTTGTTGCAGAGCTTGTAAAAGAATTATTTGGGAACTACAACTCCCAAGAAGATTTTGGGAGCTGTAATCATTTAAAGTTATTTCTCCACATTCTACTGCCTAGCAAAGGGTTAGCCATTCCTTGTGCAACCTTAATCACACCTATGCAATTCCTGTGGATAACCGGAGCTTGTGCCCGCCTGTGCTGTCCGTCTATTGATCCGAACGTTGGGGTCACCGGGCAGTTTCTCTACACCCACAGAGCGGGTGGTTTTGAGGATGGCCACCGCATGTTTCGTGAGAGAAACTCCGTCAACAAGATGCTTCCACTCTGACCTCCTGTCGCCCCTCACGGGGCCATCTTGGGAAGAACAGCTTTCCTCAGAAGGCAAGAGTCAAATCAAATTAGATTGTCAAAACCACGCCAGCCGGCACGCCAGCCAGTCACCCAAGGAAGCTGCCGCCTGTCCAGCTCAGCCACCCTGGAAGAGATTTAATTGTGTAGCTCATTAGTGATGGAGACGCTGGGAGATAATTAGCTGCCAAATAGCATTAAGCCATTCCGGGAAGCTGAGATGTTGGCGAACAGGGAAGGCTCGCAGGAAGCTCGAAATCTATTCTGGAAGGATGGGCAGTGGGCAGCTGGGCGCTGTTTGGTGCGTGCGATGCCCACCCCAGCCCGCTGCTTCTCCTAGCTTCTCCGAAGAGCGAATGGCCTGGCCCCTCCTGGGCAGCCTTGCCAGCATAACTGATACACTTAATAGGCTGGCGCACATGTCCGGATTAGAGTGAATTAGCGTCGGAAGCAACGACTGTCTGCGGCTTGCCTTGGGAACCGTAGTTTGGCTGGGCTCTGAAACTTGGGGTCTCGCCACCAAGCCCTTGGCTGAGGGAAGCGTGCAAAACCGGGAGGGTTCCAAGTTTCCAAAAAGGGATGCACAAGCTGGCCGGAAAGTCATGTCTGTCTCAGATGGTAGTTCCAGGTGTGCTTTGGCAAGTGTGTGTGTGTGTGGGGGGGGATCAATGCCTTGGCATTCATGTATTGCAGCTGGCATCGGGGGGGCATCTGAACACAGCAAGAGGGCTGGCCTTTACTTCCTCATGCACATGCACAACTGACAATGGGACCTGAGAGCGCATCGAATTTGGACAGCTAGAGTTGCAATTAGCAGCGAGACAGGAAGTAGTCCTGGAAGATCTTGGCGGGCGGATGGGCAGAGGCGCGACTAGAAAACGTAAGGATTGTGCTACTTATTGAAGGAAAGAAGAGGAAGAGAGCCCTCAAAGAGCATCGGGGCAGCGGCCCTGGACCAGCTCAAAGGCTTCATGGAAAAACCACCAAGCAAAGGGCAGAGACGTCCTTCTACTCGTCTCCTCCAGCCTTTTATGTCAGCACCTTTCATCATCATCCTCGTCTTAGAACATCAAGTCCAGCCCTTATCAGGGAGGACTGTGGGGGAAATTAACTTCTAACCCCTGGCTCCACAGCCAGAGACCTAAATCACTGAGCTGTCCATCAACATTATCATCATCATCTTAGCACTGCGGAGCTGGAAAGGGACCTTGTGGATCATCAGATCCAGCCCCTGTCATGGAGGCACCAGCGGGGGGATTGAACTCCCAAGACCTCTGCCTCTGCAGCCACAGAGGTCTAAGCCACTGAGCTATCCTGCAGCTCCTAACTGTTAAGAAGAGTAACAGGTAGATTATGTCCTACTAGGACTCCTTATAGACGGCTGCCTTGGATAAGCTTTCATTTGTCCCCAATTAGAATACAAGCAGATGTTGGTTCACCATGATCCCCCCCCGGCATGGGCCCCGATCCCACTTGTTACATCCTGCATGGCTGATTGGGGTGGCCATGGTCTTGGAGCCACGTTGGCAAACAATTCAGAAACCGAAGCTGGTTGGAAGAGTTAAAGCCCAGCCACGGAGCAGGGCTGGTCATAGCCAGCGGGGACGCCCACCTGGTGGTAGCAGCCCTAGATCTCAGTCTGATGCGGGGCCCAGTTCTAAGTGCAAGTCCTTTGCAAAGTCCATGCCCTGTCGGGATCTGCAGATGAAGTCTAGTTGTAGGGATCTGCAGATGAAGCCTTTCCCCCCTCATGACCAGCAAGGAGAAAGGAAGAGGCGAGCAGTCGAGTGTGTGTTTCAGGGCGGGATCCGGATGAACAAAACAGCATGCTGTGTAGCATGCTGTTCAGTGGGAAATCCTCCCTATCTGTTGCCGCGCCCCCCTTTTATTGTTCTCTACTACCTTTGCACCAGTTAACTAGTGACCATTCTAAACACAGGCAGGTAATATCCTGAATACACAGGTATGGTAAACAGAGGGGCCGGTAAACAGAGGCACGTAAATCCTAAATACACAAGCGGGATAAACATTCCTGAATACAGAGCAGGGTAAACATAGACAGATAACACTTTAAATACACAAGTAAGTTGATACAATTTACCCAGAGACAGGAAATTATCCTAGATACCAAAGCAGGTTAATGAATCATCCTTACTGGAAGCAACCACACTGTATACGTGATTTGCGCGCTTAGCGCAATGTCTGCTACTGCCACAGATATATACATTGTAAAAGCATACAATTTCCCCACAATGCCCTACACAGCCCTCTTATGTCTTGGATCCAGGCCATCTGAAGGGCCACCATGGTCTCGGATCTCTCCGGCCTTGCCCGCCACATTAGCTGAAGAGGCGGGAACGGGGCTTTCTGGCCTCGAACTCTGACACAATTGAGTTCTTTGGGAAGCAGTTAAGTATAATTGAATGCTTAATATCTCTTTCAGTATCTTTGCCAAATGTATTTTACTGATGTAATGAGAATTATTAGGAATTATTATTCTGCTGCTTGCTCCAGAGCTGGGCTCTCTTTAGTCCCGGCTCCCTGCAGTGTTTAATAGGTATAATCGGGGGGAAATGCTTATTTCGTACCAGAGGCTGATACTGAGAGCAGGCGTGTACGGTTAAATAGCACCCAACGAAAAGTCTTTGGTGTATGTAGTTGCTCCTTTGCTGCTGGGCAAAATCAGACCTGTGTTTTATAGTTCACTAATGTGTGCAGATTTTTCTGTCTCCTTGTGCGGGAGTGGGAGACGGACTCAGATGATGCTTCTCAGAAGGCTGATGGACCCAAATGGTTTCCTGACGCCTTCTTGGGGAGTTTCCTATTACCTTGGCAGGATTGCTTCCAAACCCTTTCATCCTGCAAAGTAGAACCCAACTGGCCACTTGGTTTACCGAGGAGTAGGACACAGACTTGAGCGATGAAGGCAGAAAATTTGGAGTGAATCTGACTGTACACAGGTTAGGGTCCACGGGAGGGCACCCCCCCCCCGTGGCAGTGGTGGCAGCAAAGAAGTTGTCCGACTCGGCTACCGTTGCACCTGCACAGAGTTGTCCAGCGGAGCTCTTTCAAGGGGTCAAGGGCCTACAACATGCTGGCCGGCAAGGACAGAGTGCAGACCACACTGTAGGACCCTGTGAAGAATTTGCAAGACGGAATTGCAGGGATCCGCTCTGACTCGAACGCTGTAGTTAATACAGGTCATGCTTGGCCGGTGTTGATGGACGAGTCTCTGTTTCTGCAGCCTGAGGGTGTGGACAAGACCCCTGGAGAGGGGAAGGCGACCGCCCTTGCTTGCCCTTCCTGGCTGATAAAAGTGGCCAGAGGAGGGACTGGGCAAGTGGGTCCCAAGGGGTGGTGAAGCCCTCCTTGAAGGAGGGCAGGATCCCAGCATGCTTCAAGCAGACAGTCGTCAGGCCATGATTGGAAAGAAGCCCTCCTTGGACCCCCACAGTCCTGGATAATCACCAGCCAGTCCCTAATGTCCCATTCTTGGGCAAGGGGCTGGAGCGGGTGGTGGCTTCTCAGCCACTCCAGGGGGTTTCTGGCTGAGACGGATTGTCCAGATCCATTTCAACCCGGCTTCAGGCCTAGTTATGGGACAGAGACCGCTTGGGTCGCCTTGGTGGGCCACCTACGCCACGATCGTTAGCTGTCCAGCCTGGGGGATTCTGGCAGTGAGAAGTCCAAAACCATACATTTATTTGAAATGTATGCCCAATTACTTCTTAGTGGATGAGGACTTCAAGTGTGGTGCTCCACCACTGAGAAGTTTTTAAATATCACTTTAAAACAGATAATATTTAAACAAAAATCTTAAAAATCAACTTTCTTTTGTAAAAAAATCAGCAAGGTGAAAATAGTTTGGCTTTCTTCTCCAACCGCCAGACCTCTTCCCCTCTGGTAAATTGAAAAGGTCACGTTCAAAGCTTCAAAGCACTGCTAAAATACATTTATGCCATTTTGGAAAAATGAAGGTGTTCTCCTTGTCTCTCTTAGGAAAGAGTGTATGTTTACCTCCTGGAGGGTGAAGCTCGGCTGACGTGCAACGACCCACCCCATGAGTTGCCCCAGGAAGGAAAGCTCAGGTAAGTCTCATCCGAGGTGTGGATGGGGTGGAGGGAAGGGCAGAAGTTGGGCGACCATACCATGGCAAGAGTTCGAATCTGTGTCGTGGCTGAAATAGCTGTTGTTTCAGAAACGGTTGACTGAAAAAAAGAGTATCAGATAAGAACATTCTGATTACGTTCTGCCTCTTAAGCCAATTTTTTAAAATCCATTCTGGTGTCACACAAAAGACTTCAATCTATTTTCCGTTGCTGTGGGTTTGTCGGTAGGCATGATTCTTGCTGATTAATGACCCCTTCTTTGCAATGATTTTGATTTCTTCCTATGCTTTATGGGAGAGGTCTATTATTAAAACACACATACAGAGAGAGCGAGAGTGCACAATAGCTGCCTAATCCATATTATGAAATTATGGCAATTAGTATAGACCGGGAAGCCTTGGTGGCGGCATAGATACTGGCCAATTGATTTCCTTCACGGCCTGATGCTTCAGCAATCATCATACACGGTCTCTTTGAATGCTGAGGAATAAAACATGGGGGTGCAACCTGAACAGGCTCGTATTTCCAAGCTAGCTTCCTTTCACTCCAAAAACTGTATTTCGGCAGAACTGATGGTCGAAAAAGAAACAATACAAAACTAAAACCCTCCACAAGGTTTTGTGGTTCTGTTTAAAAGGGAAAAAAGGGATGCAAAGAGGCAGGAAGAATGGCTTGTATCGATTTGAAACCTTCCCAGTCTGGCTGCTGGCCTGGGAGCTTACATATTAACTTGCCGGGCAGGTTAACAAAATAATGTCCGGGAAAGCCCATGGGTTCCTCTGGCCTTTTGGACATCTTGCAGTGGGACTGGTTCAAGGCAGCAGCTGCACTTGTGGGAGTTTTCACACCCTTTTGACGTGTGGCATTCGGGTGAAAGCAAAAGGGTGAGCCTACGATGCTCCTGTCTAAATGCCATGGGTCCCAGATGAGGACATCCAGTCCATTCTGCTTGCTCCGTGCTACCTAAGCGCTACCGCCTGACCTCGGCAGCTCCGGACTGGGAGGCAGTTAGTTACAAGGACGCTAAGGTTCATGGCAACCTAATTAACTCAAGGGTGGGAAAGCTGAAAGAACGCGGACAGGGAGGTCCTACCGTGATTTGTTGTTAATACTGTTCTGTGTGTGCACCCTGCATCTGAGGGGGGGGAGACCTTTCCAGGGCTGATCCAGGACTTTTCCAGTTTCCTTACAAAGGAGCTCAGTGGAGACTTTCATGAACGGAATTGAGTGGCTTGTTGGGTTTTTTTAGCATGGTAAGCTCTTGCATATACCGTATTTTTCGCTCCATAAGACGCACCTTTCCATAAGACGCACCAATTTTTTAGGAGAAGAAAACAGGAAAATATAATCTGTTTTCTTCGCTCCATAAGATGCACAGACTTTCCACCCCCCTGTTTTGTGGGGAAAAAACGTTGGTAAGAGAAAGAATAAAAATGTTCACACCAAAAAGAGGACTCAGTCTAGGGTTTCCAACCCTCTCCGAAGGAGCAGCTGTTTGTGCGTGTTTCATCAGCGACAAAACTCTGCTTTCATTTCCTGCCTCCTTAGCTCCTCCACAGAATCTCTCCGCCAACCTCTCTCTCTGGCTGGTGGCCTGGGCCTTACCAGCAGGAGCCACCAGTATAGTGGTTCATAGAAGGGACCTCTTCCAGACTTTGTAGGGTGAGACTGGAAAAGGAACCTTTGATTTTGCTGTTGTGATTTAGTTGCAGAGTTTGTGAACTTTGGCTCAACTCCTGTAGCGGCACAGCAGAAGTAAAGGGACTTACCAAGCAGAATTAACTTCAAATCTCTCCAGAGTAGACCACCCCTTTTTTCTCTTATCCACTGGCACTAACAGTCTCAAATGCTCACTCTGATACGTTGGTAAGAGAAAGAATAAAAATGTTCATTCACTCACAGTCAAACAGCATGCTGTACAATAGTGCCTGCTTACAGTAATAGGCCTCAAGAGTAGGGTTGCCAGATACATGGGTACCAAAAAGAGGACATAGAAAGACAAAAAAGACGACAGAGGAGGATGTACTGAATGTTTCATTTGAATCGTTCCGGATTAAACCCACAATCAATACAATTTTATTACAACAGCTGCCAATCAATATCTCCTAGTGAACAGTCATGTTAAAAAATAAAAATAAATTCAATGGAGGCTTTTTTTCAAAATACCAAAAAACATGGTACTTAAACAGCCAATTGTACCCTAACCCCCCCCCCAGCCTGGTTGTGGAATCCCCCGGCCGCTTGCACTCTGCACACCTAACCCACCCCAGCCTGGTTGCGGAATCCCCCGGCCGCTTGCACTCTGCACAGGCTCAGAGGCAACCTTGCTAATCTGGACGCCCAAGCAAAGCTCTGGCGCAGGCAGGGGGAAAACGGTGCCGGGCAAAACCGAATGAGGCAGCCTCCCCTCCCCCGAGGGTCATAAGTTCAAGGCTGGGGAGTGTGGGAGTTGGAGTCCCCGAAAGGGACTTTGAACAGGCACAGTCTGGGCGCTTGCCTTCCTGTTGATGCACTCGGGCACTGCTTGCTCCTGCTGGGCACGGTGGGTGGCACTCCGCTCGCACTGCCGTTCTGGGCTGCACGTGGGCTGGGCATGGTGGATCACCGAGCAGCCACGGCAGGGGCAGAAGGGGGCGAGGGCTGCGCTCTAAGCATCGGTGGGCAGGCGGGGCTGGGAAAAGACAGGGGGAGGGGGGTCCTTCCACGTTTCCCCTCCCATCCAAAATTATAACACAAAATATACAAAACATAAAATATACAAAAGCCTGACATTTTAAAGGTTTTTTTATCTTTGCCTGCCGGATGGAGGACATTAGGCTAAAAAGGAGGACCTGTCCTTCTTTTGCCGGACGTCTGGCAGCCTTACTCAAGAGACGCGCTGCCTGCTTCCTGCAGGCTGCATTCACAGAACTGCACTCACGTTGACTGCACTGCGCACTAACTGTCTGCAGATTTAAAAGAGAGGGGAGAAGACCCTGAGCAGAGAGATTTGAAATCTCTTTGAAATCAGAGGCAGGGAAGAGAGAATTGGTGACTGCTGGATTTATTGATGGACACAATCCCCCCAGTCCAGAAGGGCCCTCCCCAGGCACATCTGCAGGGAGTGGACAAGGTTGAAACAACTCCGACAGAATTTACTCCTCAACAAGCTGTAACAGTTCAATTTTTAAAACTGCGTGCTTCTTCTTTGGCATGGCAGGAGGGCAGACATGGTGGTTGCTGATTCCCTCCCTCCCTTCTCTCATCTGAGGCACGTAAAGATGTGTGTGTGGGGGGGGTTTCTTTGCACCTGTTGGTTTTGGGTCAGCTGAGACACCTGGATGTGGAATTTTCAAGGCCTTCCAAGATTCCACATCTCAGGGCAAGAAGGACAGCAGGAGCGCGATTTTTCTCACCAAGGTCTCCATAATGTGCACGGAATCCCCCTCTGTCCAAAACAATTGAGGCAAAGCTCAGGCACACACCTCTGAAAAAGGTGTTTTTTAAAAAATGATTCTTCTCAGCCTTTAGTCGCCACCAAACAAGGCTGTGGCCATCTTGATGGTGTAGAATTTCCATCTCCTGCATTAAATGTTTGTTTGCACTGAAGCACTGCTTATGCAATTATGTATAATTTGTGTGCACACACACAAAAAAATCATTCTTGTTCTTATTCTGCTTCAAAAATTGCAAAACACCTCATGCTCTTTTGAAACGAGGAGAGCAATGTTGTGCTTCTCTATCCTCATGTATGAAGACGAATCCAGAGGTTGGAAGTTCGATTCTCCACTGTGCCTCCTGGAAAGGGGCTCCAGAGGGTCCCTTCCAGCTCTGCAGGGCTAAGATGATGGTTGTGATCATAATGACAAATCAGGATATCCTTCCTTCCTTCCTTCCTTCCTTCCTTCCTTCCTTCCTTCCTTCC